TATAGCTGGTATGAAAGTGTAATTTATGAGAGAAGTTTTTTTATAATTATAACGTGACTAAATCCTAATGACTAATCATTCTTGAATAACGACTACACTCGAATGCCTAAAGACTAATAACTAGTGAATACTGACTTATAACTAAAGACTTACGACTAATGATTGCCGACTTATGATGCATAGCTAATCAGCTACGGCGGCAAGAGCACTATTAGAATCCGAAAAAATTGAGAACAAATGCAATGAATTATTAAAAAAAAAAATTAAAATAAGAACAAGTATGAATTTTTCACTGATTTTCATTTGTTCAAGTTTTGATCTAAAAAAACTTTGAACTTATTTTGCTTTGCTCCTTTCTAAATTAAAGTTGTCTTTACTGTGAATAGTTTAGTTGTAATTTTTGGTCATGACTTCATACCTACATACATGAGCATTATCACTGTATGAAAACTAAGTAAAATAAAACCGGTTTATCTGCCTTTTTCTTGATTTAAAAATCGGTAACCGGTTGTTTTTCGAAAAACTCGAAACCGGTTTTGGAAAAAGACTAATAATCGAACACCCTAGTAGGTACTTGCTTCAAATTAGGAGTTAAAAAAACCTGCATATGGATCAAAAACATTTTTGAAGAGGATCGTCACCTGTTTAGTAACTGAAATGGATTTATTCATTTAGTTAACATTTGAAGCACATTTTCGTGCAAACAGCAGCAGCTTGAAGAATTCTCAAATGCAAAATTCAGACATTACTCAACAAGAAAAAACACGAAAGTATTTTCTGCAAAATAGTAGGCCTAGGAATCTGCGAGTTCTCCGACGCTATGCCAAAGGAAATCTGCTTTGGAAGGAAATTTCAGGTCAAAGTTCCGTACCGATATACATATCTAGTCAAATGGTTTACTTGAACTAGATCGCAGATTTGTACACTGAACGGATCAAAGATGGAGTGCCGATGAGGTATATTTTACCGGACTTCAAACTTTCTATTGCAGTGGGTAACTTGCTCCACGATACTTTAGGCTGAGGTACTAGCAATCTCAATTTGTGACACACTGAAGGGTTTAAAATACGCTTTTCTAGTTATCTTTTCAGATACCCAGGTGGTCATAAGGGCTCTTTCCAATAGCATGATCACCTCCAGGTTCGTAAATAAATGCTTTGATACTATCCAACTCTGGATAGCAAGGAACACGGTATTACAATGCTGGGTACTAGCGCACTGCGGGAATCGTTGGTAAGGAGGCTGCCGGGGAATTGGCAAAGGAAGGCTAATCGTCTGTACTTGTGGGACCATAACCGTTTTGTGGACTCAGTTGGTCCTCTTCGAGGCTCATAATCGAAGCGTGGATAAACTGGTCTTAGACAGGACAGACTTTTTGGTTACCCTTTTGCGAGAACAGATATAAATCTCTGGAAAAGAGTCAACATCAAGTTGCTTATTGGCTATCTAACCGACCATAATCACCTGCTCTCTCACATGCCTTGAAGACGAGGAGGCGTGGGAGCACATTATGCCTGATTGTCCAGCATAAGTCAGACTAAGAAAGACTAAGGTTGGAAATTCGTCTACCAAGAAAGTTTTGGCTTTTATAAGGGAGGCTAATAAGATCTTGTGCCGTCAAGGATAGGAACCATGATAGGGAGACAATAGACCTACTAGGTCACGGTTTAACTTGCTTCTGTTGCACCCAACAAATTTTCATTGCAACATTTGGAACAAACATTGACCATCGTGACTGGCACGATTTAGAAAATCATCTGAGTAACAGCATCAAAAAGATCAATATAGTGCTGCAGCATTCGGTGTAACAGCATAGCATAACAGTAAACGGTATATCACGCGGGTGAAAGCTAGTATATTTGCACATACATACACACATATACATATTCAGACCATTGAGCCTTGACAGCTTATACTTAATACAAAATCCCAGAACGCTTTTTCCAATTTTTTTTAGGCTTAACAGTAACAAATTTCAAAAAATCTAATTAAGTGTTTATTATCCCATAATATTCCCTTATGTTACCTACATTCGCTTAAGTTGTAGTGACAAAAAAAAATATGCAAGGCGAACATATTAAATGAAAATTACATTTTACAATCTTGATATGATCCTCTTAAACGTTATCAATTTAGTTTTATGGCACTGCATAATCCATCAAAAGCTCAAAAATTGCTTTGATAATATGTGTGTCAAAGCAAAAAAAAAAAACGTAAATAAAAATGCAAACAAAAGCACGAAGACAAGTATTGCCGCCTAGTCAAAAACCGGATGCGCCTAAGGACAGGCAAAGTGTGGCATGCCAAGTTAACCGGCCAAACAAGTGTTGCAATAAATTGCAAATCGCTGCAGGAAGCTAACAAACCTACAACAGAACTTCATGAATAGGTACATGCATATGTACACAGGACGTACTCACTACAATAGACGCAGCATCATTTTTGAATCGTATGCATGCTTGGCACGTATTGTCAACATATCACATAAAACGTATGCGTGTGTAGGTATACACACTTTTTGTGTACTGTAATGTATTTTTTTTTTTTACTTTGCTGCTGACACACTTAACTAAACTTGTGACACTCACTGCATTTGCAATTCTTCAGGTGGAAAATATTGTGAGACTGTCACGTTGTTATGATGATTTGTCGCACGTGGTGTAAATATGAAGAATTTTTTTACGTTTTTTTAATGCCCACCATAGTGTTAAATCAAAAGGGAACGCTAGTGAAAGTGAGTAACTTGGCTGAGAATAAATATGTATTGTTTTTTATTGAGCAAAATATTGCGAAATATAAGCGGAATAGTAACTGCAGCTGAGGTAGAAAACAACTCTCGTTATTTGTGCAACTCAGCTAGTGTTTCATGAAATATTTACAAGATATTAAGGTAAACAACTTGTGCAGACCAGTTCAGAACAAAATTTCATCTCTTATTGAATGACGTTTATAAAACTCATTTAACCCTTTCGATCCTCCTGGGACACTTTTGTCCCGCAGGCGTTTGTGAGAGCTTTAATCTCTTGAATGTGAGCCTAAGCAATTTTAGCCGAGTTCGACAAAGCACGCCAGTCGCTTTTCTTCTGTACCAATTGACGCCAATCGGAAATGTCTAGTGAAGCCAAGTCCTTCTCCACTTTGTCTTTCCATCGCAGTGGAGGCCTCAACTTTATCTGCTACCACCAGTGCGCTGGTTCCAAGCTGAATACTTTTAGAAAGACATGGCCAAGCCAGCGAAGCCGCGGTATTTTAGTTCGCTGCACAATGGCCATGTCGTTATATAGCTCATACAGCTAATCGTTCGATACCAGTTATGTAATACATATTTAATTTAATTTTAATATTTTCAGCTTTTATTTTTAGATAGGCGATAACTCAATTGAAAATATTTCCAAATCAATGTTTCTCCAATATTTCCGTTTTGTACCCATATTGTTACATTTCATTTATTTTAACAATTCAATTGAGTTAAGTTTTCAAACAGGTGGCAACCCTCCTCAAACACATTTCCTTCTTAAAACTCTTTAGTCTGATGCCCACACTGCAATAATTCATTTATTTTATCAATTTAACTGAGTTAAAATTATCAAAAAGGTGGCAACCCTCCTCAAAAACAGCAGCTATATATTTCTTAAACGTCTTTAATTTGATACTCACCTTGTAATATTCCATTTATTTTATCAATTTAACTGAGTTAAAATTTTCAAATAGGTGGCAACGATCCTCAAAATTATATCCAACATTCATATTTCGTAAACCTCTTTAATTTGATACTCATAATGTAATATTTCACTTATCTTATCAATATAATTGGATAAAAATTTTCAAACAGGTGGCATTTCTCCAAATCGGTAATATACCGAACAATACAAAAAAAAAATTATTCAAATTTGATGACTGTTACAAACGAACACATTTATATATATATATAGATAAACAAACAGACATTCAGATTGATATATATATATAGATAAAGTGCTAAAAAATCCCGTTGATTTGTTTTTTAAGATGTCACGCATTTTCTTTTTTCTTTTTTTTCACACAAAGTATGCTCGAAAATTTTTTTATACTGAAGAAAATGCTTAGCACCGCCAACGTAAAAACTGGCAAAAAGCAACGAGATTTGTTAACAAGTTTAAACTTTTTTACTAAAAACTTTTTGTAATACTAAAATTTCATGGACTATAAAACTGCGTATCCGAAATTTTTCCCAAAATTCTGAATAAAAGACTGGAAATTTTGGTGCAAAATAATTTAATTTTTATAAGTTTTGAACAAAGTTTGAAATTTGGATTTATATGGCTTTTGTTAGATAATGAGCTATAATTGTAAAAAAAAAACTTATAAATATTAAACAAACAAAAGATACATAGTAAAAACTGGTCTAAAAATTACACTCCTTTTATTTTGTGGACAACTTACAAATATATGTATGTATGCAGGTATTCCTGGAAGGACACCAGGGTTGGTAAGATGCAAGCATTCTGACCTCATGCCTTAGGAAATCTGCCCCAGGCAGAAGTTCAAAGTAAAAACCACAGCTCGAGAAAACCTATTAGACGTAGAATCACATTCGCTATGATTGTTTGGCCAGACGAAGATTAAAAAAGTTCAGTTGAGAATAAGATTTTCGTCTATCAAGAATATTTTAGCATTTGTTAGCGCTACTTGAAGTATTGCAGGAATTGAGGGCTAGGAACCCTCCTTAGGAATTCGAAATATTTCCCAAGTCGCAGTGCAGTTTTTTTTTTTTAGATATTTACAAAGAGAAGATTTGAAAAAAAAATATCATATTCTCCGAACGCTTGTGTTGACTTCAGTCTACGACGCCAATGGTGACTGCTTACCTCCTCTTTAAAATAAAACCACGAAATATACTACCGCCTGGCAATGCCTGCCGGATTGATAGAACAACAAATGCGCATGTCCTGAAAGCGTTTGCTATTACCGCCACTGAGCAACAGCGAGGACGACTTTGACAGTTGGCTTGTAGCCTATGAATGAAAACAGGTGCAAAGGCCAACCATAAACGAAAATTCCAAATAGACAGAGCACAAGGAAACAAAACGCGGAAGTGAAAAGTGAAATTTTAAAAGTGCTCATAATTTGAAAATTTTATACAAAAAAGTAGTAAAATCAAAATTAAACCAACGACAAAAGCATAAATGGAAGTTCAGTGAATTGAAAGTGTGTGTAGTTAGTATTTTTGGCGAAAGTAAAGCAGTGAAAACTCTGCCAGAATAAGTGCCTGCTGCAAGGACACGCAGCTGCACCGAAGCTAATTGAAGACAGTGAAGTTAAATAAACGAATTCTAGTCTCTTAAGCAATTCAAAAGCATTGCTCACCGCAACGAAATGCAGGAAATCAGCTTAATTAGCGCTTTATATTTATATAATACACTCAAATCAGTGCATTTTTCATTCACATTTGGCGCACGCCTATTGATTTTTCCCAAAAGACTTCGACAGGCAAAGCGAAATCTATGCTGATTCACAAACAGCGCATAGCCTTTGGCGCGACGCTCTCGCACAGCTGTGCCGCTCTCTTTTGCTTGCTCTCCAAGGACTAAATAGGCGGCATGGCGGCGCGGCATTTTGCTATTCAAAACAAAGCCGACCCGCCTACCAACCACTTCCATCCTCTTGTTGGCCTGATCAGCCTTTCTCAGCAGGCAGGCGACAACAGTTGACTTTGACACTTTATTGTTATGAGTGGTTGTTGTTGTTGGTGGCTCCCTTCCTTTACTTGTTGACTTGACGCTGTTGCTGTTGTTTGTGTTGTTGGTTTGACGTTTGTAATTGCAGCGAAGCAACACGATATTTTTGTTTACACCTGTAGTTTTTCAATCATTTTAATTTTTTTCGTAGCGCCTTAGACGATTTTATCTACATGCGTCCTTTTTTTTTGGGTGGGCGTCCTTTTTAAGCCCTGCGAAAGAACTTTTCCTCTATTTGCCTACAAAGTTGCTATGTCGGCACTTTTTATTTACATGAATCGTGCATTATTTTGTTTGTTTTTTTTCGCACCGTGGATACTTGACACTTTTCTGCTGGCGTTTGAAATGGCAACAGTTGGTTTTGTTGATTGCGTTGGTAGGTAAGGCGGTTTGTCACTGTGGAGTGGCGCGTTGTGGGGGCAGTTAAGTTTAGGGTGAATGGCATGCAATTATTTCGATACTTAAATGCGGCTATTGTTTATGATTTGCTATGGTTACTTAGTATGCGTATATGTATGGGTAAGTTGGTAATTGCTTTCGGGGTAAACAGCTTAAGTTCTTCAGCATTCCGGAAATTATTTGTCATTCCAGTAGAGCAAGGTTGGCTGATTACTTTGTTTCTATTTAGTATGGTAAGCTAACTAAGCGACGCCTGTGGAAGTTTCAATTATCTAATAAGCTGCTGATTGTTCGATGTCGGCGTCCGGCGTTATCACCCAGAATATTATCAAACCTTCACTGCAAGGAGTCTAGTCTTCTCCCCTACGAAATATTTAGCAACCATTTTTACCATCCGCACGAAAGAGATTATATTACAGCTGGGAATTCACGTTGACGGCGTATCAGTTGCGCCACGGCGTCTGTAGATGTTTATTGTAGGAACCTGCTGACGGCGACTTAATCCCACGGTACTCAAAAGCACAGCGAATCAAATCGATGCGTTCATTAGCGCCCCCAAAAGCTAGCATTAGCGGCAACAATCGTCACTGTAGAATGGAAACCTAATCACCTCGATAGAAGTCTATCTAAGCCTCTGTCCTACTTTGAGTCCGGCAGCCGGTTGCAAAGCAACTCCACATCGAGCCGACAATGTCAACTTTACCCTCATTTGGGTGTTAAACCACAACCACCACCTGCCGCATGAGCAGGTTAAAGCATGCTCTAAGGACTCCTACTCAACGTGATACCAGATTTAAATCTCCGGTCAGACCTTGTGGCCGAAGTCACAACCAGTTGAGTTACCATACCACTCTGGAGTGGTGACACACGCAAAGCCCTCCTTGTTAGTCGCTGTCTAACGCGTGGAGACACTACCGAAGTCGTACCGTCCATCCGTTCATTTTATCCCCATGCTGTCGAGATTCCCCACATCCGTGTCCAACGGGCATTCACAGAGCACGTTTGTAATTGAATCTTCGGTTTTCGCTTCACACTCACACCTCTCGGAATCGTGGAGGTTCCTTTTATGAACGAATGCATTAAGAAATCCGTGCCAATTTATGAGACAAATTCCGAAGTCCGGATTCAATTTCACAAACCCAACACTCGGAAGGAACCGGTATGTGTGTCCTGCCACATAACGAAGATTCTGTCCTCCAGAAACTGGTATAGCCCCTCTCCCTGTCACCGTTCGAAATTCACTCCGTCAAGGGTGGAATGCCCATAACCCCTTCTCTACCAGAAGATCATAGTTGAGCTGAGGAAGCGCCCACATCAGTCCCTGACTTCGTGTGTCGAAATAGTGTGACATACCGGTAGTCAAGCAGCAATAATGTTCTTTGGCGTGACAGAACTTTCTGGCGGGCCATAACCGATATAGCTGTCAAGTACCAAATAGCGGGGCTAAAACTGGTACAAGCCACGTATAGGTCTCGATGGTAGGAACAGCAGCTGAGGATGCAGCGTACCTGTCCAACAACACCGACCAGGCGCTGTTTTCGGTGCATCAGGTGGGGATAAAAGTTCATGCGTATAACCAGGTTCGGCCTCAAATCACACACCGAAGACTGACCTCGTTAACACGAACCACTGGTGTACTTCCCCAAGGACAGTTTCCCCTTAAGTAGCATTGACACCGTCTTGCTCGCCGAAATGTCCACTCCCATAGGACATATTTGCTGACACTCCCCAGTGCCATCGGTGGATATAAGAAAGCAAAAATATAGTCTGACAGCCAAACGGCTCTGTTAGCAATAGCATCACCAAATCCCAGCTAGCCCAGAAGTGTAAAACGGAATTATGCCCAGTGGCTGCGTCAATAATCGTCTCTGTTGTCTAGGCTTCAGGCCATAGGAGCATTGAAGGCAATGAGAAGGCCGATGAATTGGCGAAGACAGACGTCTACTTGGAAGAATCCGAGGCTTTTTCACTGGGATGCCCCTTTTGGAGTCATTCAAAGTGAAATTAGTTTGCATTTTCTTGAACTAGCAAGGAGAAGGTGGTTCGACATATGGACTTGCAAAATAGCTAGAGAACACTTAACAGCTAAATAGACCAATGTCAGAATTATTTAGAATTGTAGCAACCATTATGGAGCCCTGGTCCATAGGCAAACATGCAGAAAGAATGGGGCTCTCATATAATAGAGCTTTCCGCAGCTGTTAAATGGAGGGTAGCGAGTTAAGCGTTCAGCATCTCTTTTGTGAATGCCCGGGTCTAGCGGCTATTAGGCATAAAGCACTAGGTAGTCACATACAAACAAAACTAGCAGATATATCAGGATATAATATAGGTGACATCGGCAAATTCATCAGGGAATGAAGATGGTTTGACTCTCATGAAAGTGCATCAAAATGCTGAAAACGCGTTAATTGGATCATCGATGAAGCACTGCAACCAACCAACCCCGTATCACACTCTCAATATTCAACCATTTATACTACGCCCGTTCCTAAAACCATTCGACATGCCTATTAGACGTGCTACCTCGCGTTTTCTTCCGAAGTCTCTCATCCATGACCCGATCCAGCACATTTCCAAATACCGGAAGCGGGCTAAAACCCCGGTGAGATCCAGTAACGCTGCTAATCTAGTCCGGTGACTTCAAGAGAGACCAGTTGTAACTATGGACGACCCGAAAACTATTGCGCACATACTCACTTACTTTAAATACTTCGCTTGCAGCATTCGGGGCAGAACCAAAGAAACGTAGTTGGCAACACACCTACAAGGCAATTGCCGGATGGTTCCAAACTATATTAAGCACCTGTGTGTTCATCGGGAGTGAATACGACGCAGTGAATGAAGTTCGAGAATAGCCACCACCACGGACAACCACAGATTGATTACTTGTCTCGCCGTAACATAACCTTCATATTTAGTAAGGCCCAGTTGCTCCCAGAAAAGAAGCACAACATCATACAAACAGCTCCTCGTCGGTTGCTACGTGAGCGCCTAAATAGGAATTTGCTTAAATCTACCCAAACGCGTAGTAAGGCATCTCTGTGAACTGAAGGGCGAGCTCCAGAACAATGTACTTCTACCACAGGGCGCGACACGGTATAGACTGGCAACCAACGAAATTTACCAGGACACCATTACTGACTTCACACACTCCCGTCCCGTTAATATAGTCATAACGGAGTTCAATCCCTACCAATTATATAGGAAGAGCTCCAGCTAAAAAACAGAGAACGGCATTACTCTGGTACGATTACCATCTAAATACGTAAGCTGGATAAACATTTACCTACCAAGACTAGACCTCAACGAACCTAACGTGTTATTGTCTAGCATGTGATGGTTTCTTACATGACAACAAACTTCATCGTTATATGCCCATTCAACCCAACTCAACGAATATCTTCCTCCATTTAGTCTCAACTCAGCGAAACAGCATTAGCTGAGCTTTGTGCGTTTCACTATGTACATATATAGCTTGTACAGTTCTTTATTCTATATTCTTCGGAGGTCTGCGCATAGCTCCCGTTATGCATACACATGTCAGTCTTTGCAGCTTAGCGAGCAATTGTCTTACCGTAGCCAGAGTGGTTGTTGAAACCCCGCTCCACAAGTTATTATTGGCTGTATTATGATGCTGTATAGCCATCTAAGGATCTTAGGGCTACATGACCAGGACTTTCCCGATAGACGCTTGCACACCTTTAAAGCTTTCGTGGACTTGGATGCGGTCGCATCCACAAAAAGTACTGCACTTCGCTCACGATGTTGGCCACGAGCTCATCCCAGATAATGTTCCTGATGCCCGGTAGGGCTCTCTTTCCTGGCAAACGGAACGATGGCGGTTTTGGCACACCATTCCTTTTTTAATCGTAAGCCCATTTGAACAATGTCGCAAAGGGTGTTCTCAAGCTTCTCCCTCTGGCAATGATTACTATGTCGTCCGCATAGCCTTGTCAGCGGATCCCATTACCAGAGAGAAGCTAAAGGAGTTCAACCACTACTAGGCTTCACAGAAGCGGGGATATCACCCCCTCCCTCAAGGACAGCCCTTTTTTGTTTGTAGTTGTACCACTCTGTTCCCTACGTCGTTCTATCCAGTGCCCTGCGCACCCCAAATTGAGACGTATTGTCAAACGCTCGCTCTAGATCGAGAAAACCACGGATAACTATTTCTCCACAATCAAAGGCCTCCGGACTTTCAGTTGTCAGTTGCTACAGGGCAATGTCCGCGGACCTTTGAGCTCTGTATGCATGCTGACTGGGGTGCAGGGGTGTTACCTTCAGAATGTTAGATCTAATATAGTTGTCCACTATCTTCTCCATTGCTTTCAAAACAAAGGAGGTTAGACTTATTGGTCTGAACGACGTCGCTAGCGAATAATCTCTTTTACCACCATTCGGGATAAAGATTACTCGGGCCCTTTGCCACAACTGCGGAATGTAAGCTTCCGCAAGGCGGCTTCTCATTATGTCCACCAGTTGCGGTATTAGTTCGCACCACCCTGTTGCAGTATGACTGGCCGGACACCATCCACCCCTGGGGCTTTAAATCGCTCAACTGAGCCCAGCGCCCACCCGACTGAATTTTCGGTGAATATACTTCTGGCAAGTTTCCAATCAGATGGGCACGGCCTGGTCCGCCCGACCTCCAGCTCCAGTTCTATGGGTGTGACCTCCGGGAAGTGTGCCTCAAGCAGAGTGGTAACCCTCTCTTCTGTACTTCTAGTGTAGGTGACGTCACTGCATTTTAGCGCAAGTTCCGTTTCCATCGTTCCTCTGGCTAGAACTTTGTGTAGCCTCGCAGCTGCTGGGGTATACGAGACACCTTCACAGAAGGTTCTAAAACTATCTCTATTCACCTTCCTAATCTCCTTTTAGTAGATCGTTAGTTTAGTTGCATACTCATACCAGCTTCCCGTACGCTTGGCCTTATTGAAGAGTTTACGCACCTCTTTCCGGAGTGCTGAGAGCTCCCTTGACCACCACTTGGTTTTGGTCGGTCTTTTTGGCTTGGTCTCAGGTCAGCTGTAGTTAAAGGCGTCGGTCGTTATGTTCGTTAGTCTGTTAACCTTATGTTCTAGCGAAATAAAGCCATCTATTTTATGTACCCTCTATAAATTATCCCAGATACTTTTGATCCGTTCAATGGTAGTGCTTTATACTTTGCGAATCGCCAAGTCCAGCAAACAACTCATTGCTACGAGAGTTTTGGGGATGCTAATTTATATATTGAGCCGCTTACTCAAGACAGGCGCCCATGTACAGACGTCCCTGGGACGCTAGCATATTCCCAGCTAAAGTTCTGGATATATGTAGGATACTAAATAATAGCGTTACCATAAAAGATAGGGCAGTGATTTACTCGGATAAGCAGGCAGCACTGTCTAGCCATCATCTAATGAAACCCAGTCTAAGCTTGTCATGGGATTCAAAATGGTTTCTAGCCATGGGAAGGTAGAAGGCTACTAGAGAGTGGACAAATTAGCCAGGGCGGGAACCTGTGTGGAGGGATCTGTAGCGTGCACTTGCAATTTTTGCAACAGGCTAAGAAAAGATGGTCAGAGATCCAGACTTATAAGATAGCATGCGAAATTTAGTCTCACTGTAGAAGGAAAAGAACAGTGGATCTGCTAAGTAGGCCAAGTTTAGAGGTGTTTAGAATTGTAGCAACTATCTCCGGTCATTGGCTGTCAGGAAAGTGTGCTTAGAGAATAGGACCTCCTTACAAAACGAAAATGCCACAGCTGCTGCTTGGATAGCAGCGATTAAACATTATCCCATTTCCTGTGCTAATAGCCAGGCCAGAGTTCCTTAAGACACAGAGAAATATGTAGACAATGGCTAGAAAGATCGGAAGAGTAAATTAAAAGTCCGAGTTGAAATTTGCGTTGAACATTTTGCTGGTTAGAGTTAGAGAGGCCCACAGTTGAAGTGAAGTGAAATTTTCGAAAATACTGAACGTTTTAAATGATCCAGCTTGGACTTTACGGACTTTTTGTGAAGTTGCACTGTGAAACAGCAAAAAAAAAAATATCGGGAATTCGTAACTAAACCTCGTATATGCCCGGGTATTGGACTTTTTGATGGCATACCAAAATATAACACTATGTATTTAGTAAAAGTATACTATATATAATTGTTTTTCCAGCATTTTTCATTATTTTGGTATCTTAGGCAACAAATTTGGAATCGTGTAACACAAAGTGCAACCAACATTCAATCTAAAAATAATAATTGAAGTGCATCAAACAAAAGAAAAAAGAACGTGTTCTTTCCATCTCATAAAGTGGCAAACAATATAAGGAAAATATGCCCTTCAAATGGAGCCCCCCACAACGTAAGCGAACACTTACCAAGGGGGGCTCCAACACCTCACTCTCCCCCACAAGTTCAACGCTACTAACGTCTAGTAGTGCCGCCACAATGGATATCTCGGCTTCCGTTACTCCAACAAAGGCCACCGGATCCAGTAACATCCCACAGAATCTCGACTATAAATCTTTTCAACTACAAAAACAGCAAACAGAAAAACATCAACATCAACACACCTCAGCACCAATGAAATTGAGCAGCGCAAAAAATTCATTTAAACGTTCAGCTACACACGAAAGCACGCACTCTTCAATGCAATCGCTTTACTCAACAAATTCAACGAATGCACTGCTAACAAGTCGCGCTGTCGATGACGATGATGATAATGATAATGATGGTGTTTATGGACTTTACCATAAATATGGCCACCAACATCAGCATCACCACCACCACCATCATGGACTACATACGCATGCACATGTAGTCGGTCGAAGTTGTGGCGGCGGTGGTGGTGGTGGTGGTGTAGGTGTAGGTGTAGGTGGAAGTGATGGTGGCGGTGGCAGCAGATTAAGTGGCGCATCTTCGAAACGTAGCGGCAAGAAACCGAACTGGGGTTCACGTGAACGTGCGGGCATGAGTTTCCTCATTGTCATTGCATTCTTTGCCATCTTCGGATTGATCGTGCTGATGGAGGTGAGTAAATTTGTGAATAAAGAAAATATATCTACATACATATCGTCGGCTGAGAGGAAGATTTCTCTATCTCGTTTTCGAACGCCCTACCTCAGAAACATTTTCAAGGACGCCCTATCTCATAATCTCAGAATTTGGTTTAAGACTCCCTATTTCAACTTAATATATATTGAAAATATATATGAATTTTGCCTAAGCCTATATTTCCATCTGTGAGATGTATCCGCAAGGCTTTGACAAAATGGTTCACCAAGTGCGCGTAATCTTTTTCTCCTTAATGCTGGGCAATGATTTACTTTCTTATGACTTGACTTATTATAATTTCAGTATCTTCCGAATAGAATTTGAGACACTCCAAAAAGCCTGTTGGACATTGCGCTATATTGCTATATACATACACATGTTAGTATTGTGAGTAGGGCGCTCTAAAACCGGCTTGACAGAAAACTGTAAAAAATAAGCTTCCATCTTCATTATGCATGTTTTCGCGATGGGACCAGTAGGGCGAGAGATTTGTAAAGTCTCAGGTTGGCGTTTAATCTGTTTAACTGCAGTTCCGCTGGCAGCTGATGTTAACTCCCGAGAGTTACTTGGGTGTGTTGATGAAATATGAGCGGGGATGTTTAAGACTGCGAATACAGGGCAGCTGAGAAGAAAATTCCAAAAATCTGCATCAATAGGGATCCGAAATTATAAGCCTTACCGAATCGGTTCCTAACAGTGCCAGTGCCAGCCAGAAGGTTCTCTCTTCTATCGAACGCGATCGAATGACGTTAGAAGCGCTTTGCAGCTTTGGATATCCGTGTTTAGGACTAGCATTCGCTGAGCTGACTATAAGTCCACTTGTCCGGAAGCAGTCCACAGTTTGCCAAAGGCGCTCCTATGCTAATCCTTGCAAGATCCGAAAGATGCAGTACCTAGCCAATTCATCAGGCAATCACTTTCCTGAACACCACTGTGCTCTAGCAGTTATCCGAGTCGATCGAGAGACCGTCGTTTTACAACCAGTTTCCAGCATACCATGAGCAGTCGTATAGCCTTGATTACCGCTTTGCTCTCAGACTACGTGTTTACCCTTCTAAGTAATTAGTTTAACACTGCCAAGTAGTCACTTGACAGTCTCCTTTGTAGTTACTAGGAAATACATACGTTGCATTAATACGCCTGCCTAAACAGAGAGTTCCTAACAGAACACACCATTCACCAGCTCGTGCCATCCATCTTCGAACTTCTGCTTCGAAGCTGCAACTCTCCTTTAGAGGGCGATTTTTTCGGCAGCATAAAACAACGGAAAATTTTTACCTGTTCCTCAATATTTGACTAACATAAAAGCTTTATGCCAACGATCTTCCAGAACTTGGTCTTTTCATAATTATTAACAAGGATAGCAAGATTAATATTAGCTAGCAGACCAATTGGTTACCAAGTTTAAGTATGCCTACATAGTAGAATAAAACAGAATACCCAGTAGCTTTCCTATGACTGTGCAGAGAACGCAACCTTCGGAGTACCTCTTCTACTCATCCTACGCTGGAGGAACGCATTGCCGCACACCGCTGCAAGAGTTCTGTTGCGGACCATGTCTAACTATGTGGCTTTCGACTCCGATCTTAGTTATGGCTTTTACTATCGCCTCGGGTATCAACTGCGAAGTTTTTGTTCTTCGCTCTTCACATAAAACAAAGATGAATTTTAGTCTTAATTCTACCTATAAGGCCCGTTCGGAGCTCTCAAGAAAGGCAAAAACTCCATATAAAATGGCGTACAAGAAATGGCTAAGAAACTTTCTTGAGTCGAATTTCCTTAAGGCAGTATGCAGATTTTAAGGAATTTGCTACGCTTTATACTACGGTTTTCTAAAGTTTTTTGTAAAAAAAGAGCACAAGACAACCCAGGTTTGCAACAGAAATATATGCCCGATCCATTATTTCTTGAGGAAAGAGTGAGGCCACAGGCTGTGAAGTATCAAAAATGTCCAAATTCCCTGGACACACACACACGAAATGATGGCAATTTTTTCTTAACCGTTTTCTTGAGAGCTGCATACAGGGCAATAGGAGTGAAATGTGAAAGTTTGTGAGTGAATTAATGAGTGATTTAATGAGTGAATGAGTGTGTGAGTATGTTTGTTTCTCTTTCCCGCTAATTGGCTATAAACCTGCATTGACATATTGCGCGATGTAGAGAACAAAGGTGGCGCCTATCCCGTACCGCTATTCCGCTCTCAGTAAATTTTACAGAATCGCTGTTTGTGTGACACTTGAAACTTTTTTACGTTTTTCTTGCAAAATTTCTTCTTATTCTTGCATTCTCGCCCGCATTTTGCTATTTATCTCTCGCAATTGCACCAGTGTGACGTCACATAAAAATTATTGTCCAAAATCCTTTTTGTTGGGCGCAATCTTGTATTCTATAATTCTTGCACATATAGAATATTTCTTGAAGAGAATTGTCACAAGTTAACAAGTTATTTTAATATGTGTACCGAACGAGAAAGGTGTATTTCGAAAATATTTTTGAAAAGAGTAGCCATCTGTACAGAAATTCAAAATCAATTTAATTAAGAATTTAAATGAAATACTCAAGAGGTTTAAGAAGGCTTTATTACGAAAACATTTTTTGAAGAAAATTGTCTCCTGCTCAAAAAGTTAAAATCAAATTAATTAGTAAGTTTAATGTAGCCTATTAAGCGAGAGGTTTAAGAACGCTTTATTTCGGAAATATTTTTGAAGAGGGTTGCCACCTGCTCAAAAAGTTAAAACCTATTTAATTAATAAGTTTATTGAAACCTTTTAACACATCCATATATATGCTTAAGTATCAATCGAAAAAAAAAGTTTATTAATTTTTATTTTTTGAGAGGGTTGCCATCTGTTTGGAAATTTAAAAACAATTTAATTAACAAGTTACATGAAGTACTTAAATATGGGTGTCAAACGCGAGAATATCAAGAAAAAATGTATTTCGAAAATATTCTTTAAAGGGTTGTCGGCTGCTCAAAAAGTTAAAATCAATTTAATTAGTACATTTTTTGAATAGAGTTGTCGCCTACTCAAAAAGTGAAAATCAATTTAATTTCTCTATTTATATTTTTGAGTAATTCAGTAGTACAAAATCAATTTCCGTAATTTAAAATCACTTTAATGGACACGGTTATAGAGGTATATATGGTTTTTAAGATGGGTTTCAAACGAGAAAGGTTTAAGTAAGCTTTATTTCGAAAACATTTTTAAAAACGTGTCTTAGTATGGGCATCAAACGATAAAGTTTTAAAAACTTCCATTATGAAAATAGTTTTGAATGGGACTGCCACCTGTTTTGGTATTCTAAATCAATTTACTAGTTGACAATTTAAAGGAGATAAGAATTTTAAAATGGGTTGAAACGAGAGAGGTTTAAGCAAGCTTTGTTTCAAAAATATTTTTAACATTTTTTTTTTTTTTTTTTGGAGAGAGTTGCTATTTACCTGTTTTTAAAATTCAAATTTAACTTAGTTAATTAGTTATAAATATAATGTCGAGGTATCTTACTTTCGTATTTATACCAAACTATTTGGAAAGCATTTTATAAGAGAGTTGCCACATTGCCGCTGGCAAAGTTAGTAATTTCATACAAAAAAAAATAATTAATTCAAATTTCATTGAAAGCGTGTAAGTCTCACACAACTTTATCAGTAAAATGCGTTGGCCAGAAATTATATCGTAATATTAGTTTAACGGCTACGGTCTTATCTTCCATTACTTAAGTCATATGTCATTTTCATTTCTGATATTTTTATTTAATTATGACTTTATACAGCATTAGCGCGCTCCGCCTTTGGCCAAAAAAAACAGCATAAAACAACATTACATTTTAATTGTAAAATAATGCTGCAATTTTTTTCTACTTTCTCGCTACATCATACACACGCCCATCCTTCTCTCCCGGTTACTGGCGCCGCTTTTTTATTGCTGCAAAAGCTGTTCATGATCGACGACCGTTCGCCCACAGGGATGATGGCAGTACGCCATGGCAATAACTATGGCTCACGTTCGAGTGATTCAATGCCGGATTATGATAATGTGAAGGTAAGTTTTTGCTGCATATTTTTGTTGCTGTGGTTAAACGAAAACAAATATCTATGTATGTAGTAGATTTTAAAAAGACCAGCAGATGGAAAAGGGCCAATATTAGAAATACAATCTGGCATAAGCAAATGCGGCACAAACAGTGCGAGTGTAGGAGTAACCAGCATGCATGAATATAGGAATATATACGTTTGTATATGGGTCAATCCATGTCAAATCAACCAATGTTTAGAATCGACCACTTTTGATTTAGGCTAAATTTTTACATAGATCACTTCTTTCTGATCTTAAAATATGCAATAGTTTTCAAGAAGTAGCTTTTTTTAAGATATGCAATTTTAACTTAAAAAAAAAATATTTTTCCAAATTCTAAATAAAGTTATGTTAAACAGTTTTTCATGACAATTCTGGCTAAGATAGTAAAGTCTTTCGTAAGACAAATGAAAGACAGATGGCAAGATAGTGCGAAACACTTTTGTTTTAGAAAGAAAGCTCTCTCGTGGTCAAAAGCTATTTTGAGAGAAAGCGCTTGTACATATGTGTCATTTAGCTCGCGTCGCTACAACAGTCGCAGAGGCTGCCGTTGGAGAGATCCGAGTACAAGTCTTCGAGCGGCGTATTTGTTCTTCCTTTTTTTAATGTATATTGTTTTCTTTTTTAATTTAATTTTCTTTTATTTTTTGGTTTTATTGCTTCCAAAAGAAAAAATATATATTTTTTAATTTCATTTAATTCTTAGAAACCTAATTTATTTGTTTTTCCTTTATAAATTTATTTTTTTTTCTATTTTAATTGATTTTTTTTTACTTTTTTGGATGATGTTTAATAGAAATTTTTCGGAACTCATTTTATTTTTTTGTTTTGAAATTAAAATTTGTTTCTTTTTTTAGTTTAATTTTCTTTTAATTTTTAGATTTTATTATTTTAAAAAGAATGATATATATTTTTCATTTTATTTAATTCTGAGAAACTTATTTGATTTTTTTTTTCTTCTTTAATGTAATTTTTTTTTTATTGATTTTTATTTAATTTATCGAGATTATTGTTTTAAGAAGGTATTTTTTTTATTTCGTTAAAATTTTAGGATCTAATTAAATTTTTTCTTTTGAAAAAATTTTTTTTTTTAATTGTCTTTTAATTTTTAGAATGTATTGTTTAATAACGAAAAATATATATTTTCCTTAATTTCATTTACTTTTCTTTTATTTTTTCTTTTAATTTGTTTTATTAATTGTTTTTTTTTCTAATTTAATTTGTTGTTCCTTTGTTAATTTCGTTTGCTCTTAATTTTTATATATAATGTATTTCATTTAATTGTAAGGCTCTTATTTTATTTGTTTGCCATTTTTAGTTTTATGTTCTTTTAATTTTTAGATATTGTTTGAAAAATAAAAATATTTTTTTAGCATCATTTTCTGCGTTGATTAAATTTTTTCCTTTTCTAATTTAGTTTTTACATTTTATTCTTTAAGAAAGAAAAAAAAATTTTATTCATTTAACTTTTAAAAACATTTTTGTTTTAATTTCATTTTATTTATTTATTTTTTATCTTATTTCCTCTCATTTATTAGTTGGTATTGTATTAAAAAGAAGAATGTATGTACTTTAATTTAACGCTCAGACCTGCTCGTTAGCAGATCTTTCAATTAGGATCTATTGAGATCAGTTAAAGGTATTGTATATAAAAAATAACTAGCGGAAATTTTTTACAAGTGCTGCAAATTTCTGTAATTCTCTCTATGTTTGAATTTTTTTTTCTATATTTACCTTTAAAACGAGACCAAAACGATTTTTGTAGCCATAGGTAATAGTTGTTGAGTTCTGTCCAAAATTCAGCCAAATTAAAAATTATCCATTCCCACCGTTAGTCGATTTGACATGGATTGACCCATTGGCATTTATATAAGTGTATAAGTGTGCATGTAAAAGGCTTTAAGTACGAACATTGCAGTCGAACAAAATTAAAATTCGCTGCAACAACAGCAAAAGTTAAGCCCGACAAAATTACAATGCAGCAAGTTCCATCCCTTTTTCGTTGGTAAAAAATAGAGTTGCGCAAAATGGAAAACAACAACTCTGCAAAAGAGCGGGTAAAGCGCCACAACGGCGTTAAAAATTATGCAAAGTCATAATTCAACAACAGTTGCAGACTTTCGCAATGCGTTTTAGTTGTTGCTTTTGTGATTTTGTAATTTTTTGTTTTTGTCTTTTGTTTTTATGCTTTACACCAGCTTCACCTGTTAGTTGAGATCTCTGCACTCCACTCGGTATCACCTCACCCGCGCGCCATGAACCCGTCTGACCTGTGCAGGTGAGGTAAAACTTTGGGTGGGTTTATGAGATTGGTTGTCTGTATGCCTATAGGTATTTATGTATACTTATAGCGGAATAGCAAAACTTTTTGTTGCTCACTTACATATTTTATATTTTCCTTTTTTTGGTTTTGCTTAACTTGGTCGTATTGTGCTTTCTACTGCTTCTCCTCTTCGTTTGAGGGTAAATGGTTTTGCATTTATTAATAAAAATTGCGAATGCCAAAATGTTGAGTTAAGTGAATGCATTTTACAAAAGCTGATTTCTTTTTAATTCATACTTTTTCTCCTTCTTTATTGGAAAGGCTTATTAACACATTTATGTATTTTTTTACTTAGGTGGGAAGGTGTGCTTCTTAAATATTTCCTGTACTTAATTCGCAGCAATGTGAACCGCTACAGCTTTTATTCAAATCAGTAATTAATGAATAATAAGTGAGCTTAGGCGGACGTAACATGTCAGTATAGTAAATATTTAGCGTTTTAGTTTATGTATGGATTTCTTCTTTCTATTTGTATACGGGTATCAAACGAGAGAGTTTTAATAGGGATTCTATTTAGAAAATACACAATTTTCTTCGGAAAATTTGTCATTTAAATTTTTAACAATCTGATAAATTTTCAAATTGATTGGTGAAACTGGGGATTAGTTACAGTCTTTTGAAAAAAGGTCTGGCAACACTGTATGTATGTCAAACGAAAGCGATTTGCATAAGCTTAATTTCTAAACTACCCATGCTGAGAGTGCTTTAAGAAAACTTTATTTACAAAATACTTTTGAACAGGGTTGTCACCAGCTTAAAAGTTCCAGTTTAATTTAATTTGAGGTTTAATAAAATAGTACAGTATCGGCGTCAGATGGGAGAACTTAAAAAACGCCTTTTCTATGAAATGTTTTGAAAGTCCAGTTTAACTTACATATGTATGTAAGTAGTTACTTAATTAGTTGAAATAATACGTGCAGCTATCTTACATATTTGTGGGCATAAAATCATTTTAAAAGTATTTTGTAAGAGACTTACCAGATTTCCAAAATTTATTTAAAACAAATATTTCCCACATTAATATGAAACGAAAACTATATTCATATATATTGTATAAGTGTTCGATTTGCAGCAGTAATATTTAGGGCCGTTTTCACCATCTCTGGTTAACGCTAATCCCCAGTTAAACATTGTTACCGACGTTATATACTGCCTATGGATATACTGAAAATAATAATTCCTATTAGTGATTTGCTTAGTTGATACTTTTTAGTATAGATCGATACTCGGTACCGAAATATTTAGGTTTCTAATAAAAACTCACAAAGGCCAAACATATGAAAAAGAAAACGGTTCAGGGGAGACTCGCTCATCAAAAGCCGAAAGTAAGGGGCCAATAGATCTTTTAATACTGATTCAAGTAAAAAATTTATTTATTAATTATTATATATTTAATTTATTTATTAATTTATGTATGTTGGTTCGTCGCCATAAGGCAGAGAAACTCTTATTTGTTTGATTTTTGTTCTACATGAATCAGACGATATTTATTATCTTTGTATGCCTGAAGGGCTTCTTCATCCGTCAAAGCATTTTTCTTGAACCCTGCATCTGCTAAGGTGAAAACTAACAAAATAATTTTTTTTTTTGCGATAATCACATAAAATAGCAATGAAATAATTTTTTCCTAAACTTAAAATAGATATAATGGCGAAGGGTTAATGTAAAGAATCGGTATCGGGTACCGAAAAGGAATTCTTGAGTACCGAGTATTGGGTACCGACAATTCAGCACATCACTAACTCCTATTAACATTATCTTTTTGCAGGATGACTATGATTTACTGGATGAAAGCCTTTTGAGTGATAGTAAATTAGGATTTGTACAGTTTCGTGATAACAAATTAAAAATTCAAGGTGAGTCAATAACTGAAAATTAAAAAAGTTATGTATGCATCTGACAAAACATACAAACATACGTACATGTATGCATCTGTGCTAGGAAACAAATAAAATACCGAGAAAAAATGTTGGCAATTATGTAAAGAAAAGAAAGGCGCCGCAAAAAAATCCTTTCTATAATTTGAAGGGCTCTTATTGTCAAGGCTGTGCCAAAGCACTGCATGTGTTCATTAAGTACTATGTATGTACATATGCATGTGTGTATGTGCAACTCTGTGTATGGATAGTCAAAATAATCCCATTGTGAAAACGGATATTGCGCATTTCGGTCACATTTCTAATTGCATCCGATGGCTAGCGGCTTAGAGAACGATGCATGTTCGCCGATAAAATTCAGCCTTTACTCAATTCACATGCACACACATACTTAGTATCCCAACAGCAGTCATCCCTTCAACAGTCCACACCCCACTACTCGTATTTGATTATTCAATTTACTTCTTCATTTATTCATTCATTCATGTGCACTCAGATGCCGATAGCGATGCAAACGGACGCGTGGCGGGTGTACTACTCAATTCCGGCAGTGCTTCCGCCATGCCACCACGTGGCGGTGCTGGCGCTAATGCTGTGGATAGCGGTGCACCGGGGCCAGCAGTTGTACGCGCGGGCGGCATGGGCACACCGCTTATACCCTGGGGCAAGATATTGCCCGCGAAAGTGGAGGAGACACTGCCACACTTTCCGATTGGCGTACAGCCAAACGATGGCGCTTGGCAGGTTGTCAACGGCACACGTTTCAAGTTCTTCGTCTTTTCGGCCTATTATGATCGACGTGATGGCGCGAAATTGGTGCGCGTCATAGGCGCAACCAAGACACGTACACCGGAGCGGGTGTGGTGTCGCTTTTGGTATCACACACAACAGCTGAAGCAGCAACAGCAACAGCAACAACATATGCCGAGTTATACGTCAGCAACTGTAATGGCGCGCGTAAAGGTCAGTTTTGCTTTGGTTTTACCACTCTCATTGGCGTCATTTTAGCTTTTCAAAAATGGCTTAATTTCCAATTCTTTAACACTCGTCCTCGCTCTTTCTCCTTGTCTTTTCTACTCCAGGTTATACGCGAAAATTGGAACCTCAAATACAGCGCCGTATTTGTGCTTTGTCCAGTGCGTCCCGCCGAGCTGGAAGTGCCGCATTATGTCAGCATTGTGGCACGTTTACGCGCCCCACCAGGTAATCTGCTGCTATTACGTAACACCGATTGGGACACAGACTTTGCACATCTCCGCACGCCACCATTGACAGCCAATATGAGCAGCCACTCGGCGCAAACTAATGCAACTACCACGCGACAGCAGTTGCTGAGGCAACACCAACACCAACAGCAGCAGCAGCAGCAGCACATTCGTGCTACAATGTCACCAGCGGGCGCACAATATTTGCCGTTCGGTTTGCCCACCGATGAGCAGATACCAGATAAAATCGCCGTCTGTGTGAAACCCTTCCATTTCAATTATGATCAGGCTCTGTACTTAATGGAGTTTCTCGAGTTTTACGCTCTAATGGGCGTTGCCCACTTCACATTCTACAATCACACTCTGGGACCGCATGCCACTTGTGTGTTGCAACACTACATCGACGGTGATATACCGAACACTTCGAACGCTTGGGATGTGGATTTGGCCGAGGTGATGGGGAAAGGTGTGTCGATAATGGGGCAGGATGCTGCTAAAGTCGATGGTAAGTTCATTTTGGCAGTTATGGTTGTTGTTATTGGGTTTAGAGTGCGCAAATAAAATAACAAAAAATGTTTTCGAATATTACAAAGCCGAATCTTGAAATAATAAATGTTGGTGGATGTTCAAGAAAAGAACTTCCTAGGCGAAGTTTCTATCACAAAAAATCTCTAAATGCAGAAACGTATGCAACAATAAAACTGAAAAGGTACTCTTTAAAGGGTTATTGATATTCTTCTGGAAGCATTGCATATTTTAAGCTACGGCTGTTAATCATTCAGATATTTGTCGTGATAGTATTTACCGTAGCAAAGGCGCAAAAACTTCATTTTAAGCGATCTAGTAACAACTGTCATTATTATGAGCTATTAGGTTGGGAACCACCGAGGTTGGAAATAAAACAAATTTTGCCTTAATTCCAAATGCTTATTTATGTATACTATTTTAGCGACGCACAGTGTACACGCAGCAAAAAGTCAGCTAAATATATTTATCTCAACACATGATTTGGTTACATTATTTGGTTAAATATAGTTACCAAATCATGTGAAATATTTTTAGCTGCCTTTATTCTGGGTGTACACATAACACAAAACAAACACTAAACATCATGAAAATAATGTCATTAGCAAGATAGCGATCATCAAACAAGTTTTACTGAAGCTCACGCAAAAATAAATTTTATACCTTTCATCAGTCACAAAACTTAAACTTGGTTTTAAATTTGTTTGCTTTTTTTTTTGTAAAATTCAATAGTGTAGTTGTATGTTATGCACTAAAGTGTTTTAATATGCGGTCTGGAAAAGTTAATTTCATTTAAATACTTCTTCAACAGGTAAAAAGTGAAAAAATTTTGAGAAATTCTGTACATTTCATAAATTGTAACTTAGAAATTCTATCAGATTCCACTGTAAGGTGTGTCATAACAAGTAATTTTTAGCAAAAAAAAACCGACTTCAACTCTCCTATAAAAAAAAAATATATATATATATATATCTCAGGATCCACTGATCATGATCTTAACCAGATTACTTAACCAGACCTCTGAGACACTACCTTTCCGATGCAGAATGAATTATCGAAATCGGTTGACGTGGTCCAAAGTTATGAGGTAAAATACATAAAAAAAAAATATATATATATTCCGACGAACTGATAACCTCCTCTTTTTTTTGGAAATCGATTAAAAATAGATGTCACAAAAGTGTAGATCATACAATTCGCCATACAAAACTGTTATAACACTTTTGTTCCTGGGAATTATCTACCATTTCGGAGATATAGCGATTCAAAATGCTGTGTTCTCCATAATACAGTGGAAATTATGCATATTATGGGGAGCACAGTGTTGCCAACTTTTGAGTTTCAAAAAGCACCAAAACTTGAAAAAAAGTGTTTTACCATACTCAAAGCACTAAGTTTTTTCGTATCAAAGGATACAAAAATATTTCGCTCATAACGATTGAATAGCCGCTACACCTTTATAATCTTTAAAGAAAAGTATTCAGCTAACTATTATGGTTGCATTTTAGTACATTTAAATTTGTAGATTCTTGTAAATTCAGTGCTGCCGCAGCTTTAAATATTTCACATTGTTTCATGTTTTAACTATCTATGAGAAATTTGAGTTCAGAAAAAAAACCACAAAAAAAGAGCACTAGACACTAAACCATTTTGTTTTTCTTTGCGTTTTAGTTTTCTAAACGCACTACATCTAGTGCTTAAAGCACCATGTTGGCAACTATGCTGCCAATAGATCCATCCGGTCTAACCAGCCTTCAGCTGCAAGGCACGCGCGCTATTTTAGATAACTTTTTTCAACTTTGAAATTTTTGCTATGAAATCGTTTAATAAACTCTTTTATGTATAATGTTGTGAGAAAAACAAATTACTTTTGAACTCAAATCTCCTTTTGCGCAGATAAATTACAATGCTTAATTACAACCTTAAAGTCCTCATTAAACTCAACCTCTTTTGCATTTGTTTACTTTGCATTTCTTAATTATAATCGATGCAGCTGTGCTTAGTGGTTACTACAATCTTAACAACAACAACAACAACAACAACAACATTAACAACAATAATAAGAACAACAACTATGGTAACAGCATCTACCACAAAATCAACAGTTTGAGTGGCAATCAGACTGCGGGCGCCACAGGTTCAATTTCCAGCATAAACACACAACATACAACAACAGCAACAACGTTTGAAAGTGAAGTAACCGGTGCATTGCAACCACCACCGCCGCCACCACCACCACCGCAGCTGCCACCAAAACCACCATTACCGCCGACATTGCCACCGGTGAAGCGTTACAAAAGTACACACTATGCTAAGCCAACGATTAACATCCTGCCATGGAATTTGCGTATGCGCTCACAAAAGGAAATACGCACAGAGGGTCTGTTTGCGGCACTCAACGATTGCCTCTACCGCACTATGCATCGCTACCGTTATTTAGCGATGGTGGATTTGGATGAATTCATTGTGCCACGCCACAACGATACGCTCAACGAATTAATTAAGTAAGTAACAGCGACTTGCACAAACAAACAGAGCGTAGGCTGGGCTGGACTGGGCTGAGCTGAGTTGTATTAAGGGCGGGCAGGCAGGTTTTACAAACTTGAAGTTGGAAGAAATGAAGGCTGTTTGTTGCGTACGAGGCAGCAGGCATAAGGCGGATGCAGTGTAGCGCAGTGCATTGCCTATGTGAGCTGCTCTTCCTACGGCACCGGTGCGCTACCTTCGCTGGCTCTAGCAGTAACCGCCTGATGCACATATGTACGTGCATACCTACAAATGGCCCAACTAATAACATTACAGTAATATCTGCACTAATTACTTCTATGTTCTATACCTGCCTTGCCGCTTAACCTCAACTCAAAATCGTTTGCTTATTTGCTTGTATTTTATGCTCATTTTGTATCATGTCATGTCTTGTCTTGTCTTATTTGCTTTTACCGCTGCTGTTTAGCTCGCTCAATCATCGCTTCCGTTATCGCAATCTTGGCGCTTACTCCTTTCAAAATGCTTTCTTCTATCTACAATTCCCCGATGATCCTCTGGTGACGCAAGTACACAATCAACCTTCACAGCAGCAACAACCGTACGCCCACAAAAACCCTACACTGCGCGCTTCCTTGGTGACACAACGAAAGACACGCAGGTGAGTACGTTTGTATGTGTGTAAGTGGATTACGTTTGTATGGTTGAAGGTAGCGACAATATTATTGAACATTAAGCGCATGGGTCGCGGTTAATTTAATATCGAAGACTTGGCAAGATGGCTGACAAACAATTGCATTTAGTGTTGGAAATTGTGGTTTCCGTGATGCCAGCAGTGGTTCGTGCCGAAATGAGCGGCCTGTTGATTGAGTGAGATAATGTCTAACTACTTAAAGTAAGTTTATTTGTCTGATAAGGAGAAGGTCGCGTCGCGCCTTCTGAAGAAAACGCTATCTCGTTTATTAAAAAAAAAAAACATAAATCTAAGTTCATCGATAGCTGCATTAAATGCTCGTTAGGTTTAAGAGTAGTAAAGTTCATGGAAATGCAGAGGTTGAAGGTTATATGCAAGTCAAATTTGTGTAGAAATTTTTGATATGAAGTACTTTATGAGAATGGGTGAAAATTTTGCCTCGGTTAAGACCGCTTCTTTTGGAAACGAACAACTAAAATTTGAGGGCATGCACCTGTATTGCCCGTAGTCTTAATGGCCCAAGCTGCCTTTGTCCGGCTGCTTTTATTTATTTTTTTAATTTAATTTGTTTTTTTTTTCGTTAGTTTCATATTGTTTTAATTTACTTAATGTTTAATTTAAGATTTTATTGTTTTAAAAAGAAAAACATATTTTTTTATTTCATTTAATTTTTAGGATCTTATTTTATTAATTTTTATATTATTTTTTCATTCCTTGAACTAAACTTTCTTTTAATTTTGTTATACAAATAAATTTTAATTTTTTTAATACTTAACTTTTTTTCTTTTTCCAATTTATTTTTTAGACTTTATGGATTTACGAAAAAAAAACGTTTTATCTTAATTTCATAAAATGTTTGAAAATATTTTTTATTTGTTTTTGCTTTATTTTGATATTTTTTTTTATCTATTTTTAATACAATTTTCTTTTATCTATTACTTTTCATCGTTTTAAAACGAGAAATATATATATATATAATCACTAGACACGAATAAAGGTGCGCTAGTGTTTTGAGGCGAAAAAGACGCGTAAAAAGTCTGACGAAAAAAGACGCTTAAGGAAAACTTCGGCGAAGAAAGGTGAGCAGCCTAGTTGACGGCGAAGAAAGACACGTAAACATGGATTTATACCTGGCCTAGAACTGTCACTTCGTCATCATACCCCATCTATTGTGCCCGCAAACATAGTTGACCCCGCAAAAATAAGTTTACGCGTCTTTCTTCGTTGAAGTTTTTTTATGCGTATTTTTTCGCGGACAACTTTTGAGCTCGCGCCTTTATTCGCGTCTAGTGACAATATGTTTTTTCAATTTAATTTAATTAAAAAAACTTATTGCTATAGGAGATCTTTCATTTACACTTCCGATATACAGCTTTCAAGATAGTTGCCAGAATTTCCCTGCTATATGCCAAATATAATGAAAGCAAGAAATAAGGCGTTTTCAGGGTGATCTACGAGCAAAAACAATTTTTTTCTCATTTCACCTTTTTAAAAATTGCTAATAGGTGCCATAGACGATGCGTCTGACTCGCCAGACATCTGTGTACGTGTTGACTCGCCTTCCGACTACATACAGTTGAGTCATTCAGACTCATGCCAGAGTCATGTCGGTGTAACTAACACATGTTTATTTTCACTAACACATCCAAACCGCCTCGCGATTCAGACGCCGCCTATAACTCTGCCGCATTTTTGTTTACTCATTTGCAGACGACTTAAACTTCATCCGCAAAAGCAACGTTCTAAATATATTTGTAAGCCTGAGTCGGTCATCGAAGCTGGCAATCATTTTGTGTGGGAATTTTCGCCAGCAAAGGGATCATTAAATGTACCACCAACTGATGGTATACTACAACATTATCGGGTAAGTGGGCACAAATCATTGAAGAAGGATAATTATTTTTTATTTGAAATTCATTGCAAAGCATTTGTGGCGTATCAAGCAGGCCCAAGACTTTCATTTTACCTTAGAGCCCCCATTAAATATTCACCAAAAATCCTCCAGAAAATAATACCTCTTTAGCACCCCTAACGAATATCTAATTTCTCCACAGGTCTGTGAATTCGGTGGCAATGATTGCATAAAGGCTCCCTCGGTGGTCGATCGAACAGCCACAAAGTATGTAAATCGCTTGGTCGAGCGCGTCGAACTTGTTTATAAACATTTGAGACAACGTTGCGATCTACCAGCGTTGCCAAATGAATCTACGCAAGAACAAAAACAACAGGAGCAGCAGCAACAACAACAGCAACAACGAAGACAGCAATCACAAAGTACAGGTGAGTTGTTGATGAAGGAAAACGTAAGCGAAAAAAAGTACATTTAATAAAACAAACCAAAATCAAAATAACTAATAACAGTAATGGCGTAAATAAAAAATCCACAGCAAATAAAAGCGATGATGAGCGCATAAAAACATTAGTGAACGTCAAATCGAAACGAGACAACGATCGTGAGAATAGCGGTAATACTAGAAACAGTGCAACGATGATAAATAAGGCGACGAATGCGCTAAATAACGGTAACAGCATCGATCCAACGGCAAGTCCGGCGCATGGTGAATACAAAGTAAAACGAAAGAAGCGTAAAGTGGTGGTGTTTGAGCAGGACGAAGAGGGGCTGCCGATAGCGCGCCTGGAGTATGTGGATACTTAAAAGGGGGTGGCGGAGCAGGAGTAGGGAGTTGGCAGTAGAAAGCAAAGTATTGCCAACGTATTGAATTTTACTGGAAGAGTTAAGAGTTGAGTTTGCATTTAGCTATATACATACATATAAACATATTGAAAAAGAGAATTCAAAGGCAAGCTAAAATTTGGGACATAAGTATTGCTTGATCTTTGAGTCTTTTAATATTTTCATTAAAAATATTTATATTTGAGACGCATTTGATATTTTGCATTTTTATGTAAGATTTTTGTTTAACTATATATTTTAGTTATAAAATAAACTTTTCTATAAATTTCTTAAACTTTTTCATTTTGATTTTTCTTTGTTTTATTTATTTCGTTCTTTTCTTGTTTTTGAAAGTGAATGTTAGTTTTATAAATTACAGTGCAAAGAAAAAAAATGTATACAATTTTTATTCATTTTTTTATTTCATTTTTTGTAAGTTGCCTGAAATGTTTATTTTTCAAAAACAAGGTCCTTCTTTTTCATAATATCATATATAGATGCAATTCCTTTATTTACAAAAAATCAAAATACATTTTTAAATTATATATAGATGCAAATTCTTTGTTTACAAAAAAACTAAAAAATTATTTAAACATTTTTTTTTTCTTTTTAGAGCAGTTTGTTAAAATTTTTTTTTATACATTTTTACAAAAAAAGCATCCCAAGCTCTTTTTATATTCCCAAAAAAATTTAAATAAAATACATTTTCGGTCTTGAATTAAATAAAACTCAAGTTTGAGTTTAATTGGATTGCCGGGCCTCGAGTTTATTAAAACATTTTTCATAACTTAAAATTCAAAGACCAGTAATGAAAAACAAACTATTTGTTTGTTTTGGAAGAACCGTTAGAATTTAATTAAATTTTCTCCAAAAAAAATGTATACTACATAATAATTTTTAAAATTTTCTGCTAAGGAAAATCCACATGATTTTTGACAATGTTTTCTAAAATCGAAAAATTAAAAAACCGAAACATTAAAAAAACAAATGCAATCAAAAACCATCTAATTTTTCTCTTACTAATATTATTATTTTTTATGTATTTTTATTTTTGGAAAAACCTACAAAATTAAAAAAAAAGATCTTTAAATATTTGGAAAACTTATTTATTTGTTATTGTTTTTGTTATTTTTCATACAATAATTTTGCTATAGCATTTAAACAATATGTTTTTTTTTTTTTTTTTAACTAAAGAACATTTCTGGCCGAGAAGCAATAAAGGATCAAATTGTCGAAAATATGTTCTTTATTAAAAAAAATTCAAGAAATAACATAATTTTCCTGTGTAATCTTGTTTTTCAAAACCTAGAAAAACTGAAATATGTTTTAGGCGTTTTTATTAATATATTTAATTAGAAATTTACTAGATAATTTTTTTTTTCATACATAATTTATCATTAAACACCGAAAAATAATAATTAAAAAAAAATAATCAATTTAAAAAGAAAATAATCTAAAAGAATTAAATTCTCAGAAAATGTTAAAAAAATTATGTGTTTATGTTTTAAATAAACTTCTCAACTATTAATATTTAGGCAGTAGCCTAAGAGCTAATGAAGTCTTTGTTTTATTGAATGACCAAATATTAATTATGTACCTACTTAAAAATTTTGATTATTGCTTCCATAGGGTGTGAAATTTTAATTATTTAATTATTAATAATTTTATCATATGTTTCCATACCCAACTTTTTCTTCTGAGACTTTTTTTGTTTTAAAATAAAAAAAATTCAAAATTTAGTTACGAAATTTTTGTCTCCAATTTCTTACTTAAATGCGTTATATATTGCCAATATTTTAAATATAAATACATTGACGAGAAATCATTATTTTCCTGTTTTCATATCAAACTCTTTTGAGAGTATTTTTTCAATGA